TTTGGGTTTAATCCGTTATATATTATCATTAATCTCATGTTAAATAGAAACTCTTAATCTTGATGGCGTTTATAAGTCGTTCATTACATCGGGAGGATTTTCGTCTTTTTTCAACCCTTAGAGGACGAGTGGGTAAAGCTAAGCGTCTTCAAAGCCTTAAATCATCGTCCTCAAAAGGTTAAATCATCGTCCTTAAAAGGTTAAATCATCGTCCTGAAAGGGTTAACAATTATAATTATATGGAAATGTTCTCAGTCTCCCTCATTAAGTAATTCTAATCTGCCATTGTGTGTGTTTTAATGATTAGAAGGTCAAGTCCTGTAGATATTCCGAGAAACACCACTACCACCACTACCACCGTCACCCCCAAATAAATCCCATCCATCATAATCACAATCTACAACATGTTATTTATGCTACAACCACCAACTACAGCTCGAATTCCCCCCTGAGTAATAAGGGACGTGAAAGTTTTGATAATTTTTGTGCGTCTAGAAAGTCTTCCTCCCCCGCCGTGAGTGTCGTATCTCCTCCGCCATATATTGTAATTATGTTGAGGCTCTTACCATGGCAGGATATATATGGCGCCTTTTTTAAATGAGTGAAATTTTGCGTCTTGATACTGGAGGTCATATTTTCGACTAGAGTTTAGTAATGTGTGATATCTGATGCCTGAGGAAGACATAAAACGGAAGAGAAGGGGTGTGAGAGACAAAAAGGAATAGAGAACATTAAAAAAGATGGGAGATAGGGAGGGAAAGAAAGAGAAATGTTCAGAGAAAGACATTGCATATACTTATATAAAGGTTGTGTTCTAGACTGTAATTGTAACCCTTTATTGAATGAATCACTACCATCACCACTATTATCATCACCAGCCACTACTATAACCACCACCATCATCACCACTCACTACTACCACCAACGTCACCATTACCATCATCACCACCATCACCTCTCCCGCGCTTCACAGAGACGATCAGAAAACATAACTTGTAAATAATTTCTCTCAATCATATTCCTGACACTCGAGCCACACATAATAAACAAATCACCTTCACAATAACTAAAAATCACCATCAACAATGACTCAAAAAAACAACAAATCACATTCACAACGACTCAAAAATAAATAAAATAAAAAAATAAAAAAAAATGGTAACATTATCAGAGTTGGGGGTGGGTGGCAGAGGACGTGACTTGGGGGGGGAGGGGGGCGTGACTGGGGAGGGGGGGGCGTGACTGGGGAGGAGGGGTGGGGACTGGTGTGGGGGGGTGCAGAAAGGACGTGACACCCAGCTTTAATGTCAGCGTTGATTGGCCGTTCCTCTTCTCTGGAATCTGAGGATGTAAAAGCTCAAATTCCTGACAGATTCCAGAGAGCGAGGAAGAGGTGTTCTGGGGGCGTTACGATGACGCTACCTAGAGTGGGAGTAACACTTGTTGTATACGACCCCGTAGGACACTCACTGGGGAGGGGGCTGGAGGGTGGGGGATAGGGGTTCAGGGGCTCGGTGGGGTCAGGGTGGGTCAGGGTGTGATATTATTATTTATTTATTTTTAGTATATTTCAAACACTTCATTCATCCATCTTTAATGTTATATTCACTGTAGGATCTTTATAATGCTCGTAGTCTTATATTCGGGGCCCGTTGGTGGACTCAGAGCTGGTACGATGCATTATACTGTAACCTGTATAAGAGAGAGAGAGAGAGAGAGAGATAATAAACACATGGATGAGAAGAATGGAAGATTACTGTACGTATGTAATAGTTCCTGGGTTGAGAGTTGTCATGGTATAGTTTGTTGGAACACGGGAATATATTTTAAATCTAATATCGATTTTAAGGTTCGTAGCTGGTATAATACTGATTTTTAGGGTTTTTTTTATTGACACACACACACACACACACACACACACACACATATGTACACGCTAACGCCAAGGACCCATCGTGAATATTTACGCATCCAGCACATAATCCAAAATCGGCGCAACTTCAGGAGAGTTTGCCGTCCACTCCATCGCTCACACTCCACCGCCACGAAGGGGGGGGACACCACCAGCCGGAAAATGCTGCTCCATTATCCGAAAATGTGTAGAATCCGGAAGGCTTTCAACCGGCTTATCCAGGAGGAGGTGTGTAGGTAAGGAGAGAAAGAGAGAGAGAGAGAGGAAGACGGTAGAAAGAGAGAGAGGGAGGGGTAGATGGTTGGTGAGAGGGAGAGGAAACACTAGACAAATTAGAGACAAATGGGGAGGAAGTGAGAGGGATAGTTGCAGGGAGGGAGGGAAAGAAGGAGGGAGATGAGGAGAGAGAGAGAGAGAGAGAGAGAGAGTTAATATATAAATTTTACGGCCGGAAATATCAGTGTGTGGGAACCCTGCAATTATCTAGACTGAAATTTATTGAATTCAAGATAAATTTAAATAAACCAAATCCCTTATAACATTCAAGTGGATTAACTCTACCTTGGATAAATTGTCTTAATACCTAGATAATCCTAAAGTACAAATAGCTTAATAACTTGTGAACTATGAACTTTGAATAACTCTATAAACTTACTGTAGGTTAATCGTCTCCAGTTGGACTTTAAATCAATTGATGGATCCTAACGTCCCATAAATCGTCCATAATCATCCTCCTGCCTGCCGTGTAAGGTTCTCCCCCTAGAGTTATGAGAACTGGAGAACTTCCAAATTGTTCTCCCGTAACGAAAATGTCTTGAGCCAGAACTGTCCCCTCAAAGGACCAGCCAAGAAGGGATGGAGATAATTGAAAAGTTATGACTTGAAGGAATTATTATCCTAAATGTGTAGAGAGAAAGAGAATGCTGGTGAATTATGGGTTAATATATGAGTTAATATATCTGTACTTTATGTGTTTTAATGGATGGAGGTAGTGAGAGAGGAAGAGAGAAGAGAGAAAAGATACTGGAGGAAACTAGGAAACGAGAGAGAGAGAGAGAGAGAGAGAGAGAGAGAGAGAGAAAGAGAGAGATAGAGAGAGAGTGAGTGGCGATGGTGGTGGGGAAGAGGATGCCACCTTATCATATGTTGCCCTGAAGTACCGTACATTCACCACCTCTATCCTTCCTTCCTTCCTTCTTTCCGTCCTTCTTGAGTCTCTGCACCTCTTCTTCACTATGCCTCACTCCCTCATCATCTCTATATTTCTTTCCATTACTCTATACTTCTTATTTATTCATCTGTCCATTCCAATCATCATCCGTTAAGTTAATATCTCTTTCATCCTACTTTCATTATTTCTATTCTTCTAACCTTCTCCTATTCCATCTCCCCCCCTTCCTCTCTCTCTCTCTCTCTCTCCTCTCCATCCTGTGCATCCTTCCTTAATCCTTCCTACATATCCTACCTTCCCTCACTCTCACTTCCTCCTTGTGTCAATGTGTGTTGACTAAATGCTCACTCGCTATGTCCTGACACCTTTAACCTAGTCAAGGGGCCAGAATTTGCTCATTTTATCCTCTCTCTCTCTCTCTCTCTCTCTCTCTCTCTCTCTCTCTCTCTCCCCGTAACAAAAATAACAGTGGCCAGAAAGGAACCACATGTAATAAATACTGATAATACAATCCTCAAGTTGAACTGTCATACTAAATGTGTGTGTGTGTGTAAGAGCTGCCTGATCTTTGTCACTATAGAACAAGCTACAGAGAGACGTGCCACCCCCACCCAACTGGCAGGACGATATATCTAAACTAAACCGGAGCTTGAAATATTCTTAGTTGTGTGGAGTCTGCAGGGATTCTTTTTTTTTATGGGATTAGCCCACCCGGGCACACGTCATTGACCCACATCTGGGCCTGGGGGGCGAAAATGTAATAATAATAATAATAACAATAATATTAATAGTAATAATAATAATAATAATAATAATAGTAATTGTTACCGCCACAGTAGGATAAACTAGAAGGGAGAGAGAGAGAGAGAGAGAGAGAGAGAAGGGGGGTGGACAGGAGAGAGACAGAGGCAGTGTTGACAACGAGCTTTTCTGAGGTGTTAAGTGTGAAACCGATGGCCCTCGCCTGGGGCTGACTAGCTTGACTAGTCTCTAGCCGTCCAGTGGTCACGGCGGGGTGAGGTCTTATATAGATGGGGTAGGCGTGGGTTGATAGTTGACCTCCGCGCTGGTTGCCGACCTAGACCACTAGACCACGAGGCATACGCTGGGGAATTCGAAGAGGGTCGGCTAGTTCAGCGACAAACAGTAATAATAATAATAATAATAATAATAATAATAATAATAATAATAATAATAATAAAGAACCATAAAGAAATACAAAAATTAAAAAAAAAGATCAAGTGTGAGAAACAATATACTGTATGTAGTGTTGTCAGTGGTAAGAGACACAATTGAGACCCTGTGTTAATGAGGCAGAGAGTCAGATCACCAACCTGTTTGGTAGTCACTAAATTATCTAACTTTAATATATTTATCTCTAATTTCTCTTCCCTTTACTTCCTGTGAGGCACATAATTACGTACAACTGAAATAAAGTTAATAAGCTCGACAAATCAATAAGAAATATCGTTGCAGTTAATACACACAAGGCTTTTAAAATCTTTTATTATAAGTTTATAACGAGTATTTAAATAAATAATAATAAAAATAACAGATACTATAAACTAAACCCAGCGTATCAAAAGTATCATAATATATAAAGAATTTTTTTAGAGCTCTTCATTTAAAATATATCATAAAATTCATTAAATTAGAAAAAAAGGAATGAAAATTATGGTCATAGGTGAATGATCCTCTATTATGAAAACAAGTGGTGGGAGACACTAGTTCCTCACACAGCTAGTAACATCCTTAATAATAAATGTTCTATATAATATTTTAACTTTGATTTACTAGAATTAAAAAGTTATATATGTATAAAAATATAAATATATATCTAAATATTTATATACTGTATAGGTTAGGTTTAGTTAAGGTTAAGATGAGCCTCAGCGTGACCAGCCTCATGGGGAAGTAAGTCAACACAGTGTACATGGCAGTGTGGCTTGACTACTGTGGTTTATCCTTGTGAGTATTGTATTCCTCATTACCTCACACATTAGATATATTACATTTCTTTAGGAGTTTAATGTGTCAGAAAAGATTACTGTTTAATGATGTTGTTATTGGTGTAGCTGGCAGATAGTGATTACGTGGTAAGGGAAGTTTGTCCACCCTAACTCGATAACATATATTTTACAGAGTATTATTATCTTTTCTATGTCTAGTGTTTTATTTTGGTACTTGTAGAGTTTAGGGGGCCTTTTTCATGTTATATATTGAAGCAAACATTCTCACATCAAAATATTTTCAATCTGTCAAAGCCTCAACCTTCATGGTGGGGACATAGTAAATGGTAATACTTTAAACAACTGACTCGTGAGGAGAAGTAATTTTAGGGAACCATCTGGTGGTTATAGTCTAGATGAAGTGCATACCATACTTAACTTTTTATGTCCTTCCACAGACATTTTATATTTTGCATTTGAATGATACAGACAAACGGAATAACATCTTGGACATTTTACTGAACCAAGGATAACAATTGAGATTTAAAGATGTCAACAGCTACGGCTTCATTCTCAAATACTCATTGAATACCATGTTACTTTTCCAACGTGCAACCTTCACAGATCAGAGCCATCTTCCCACTAATTCAAATTCATGTGACATTGATACATAAACTTATTATTGTTTTTTTTTTACATTGTATTAGATGCTTTTATTACTGTTTATATGAGGTGTTGTCAGGAAAAAGGGCTAGTACTGTATGTGAAACCAAAGTCTTGAGAGAAACGCACGAAAATCTTTATAAATTTTCATCATTTGTTTCTTATTTTGTGGTTTTTGGTAATATTTTATGAACATGTATGAGGAAAGGTATAATACAGTTTATTTGATTGATAATAACTCCCTGTACTTAAAAATAAATGAAATATTTAGAGATAAATATAATTAATAATAATGATAAGACACAAAAGTATAACAAACATCACTATCACTGCAGGAACAACTCATGGTGTACACTAATTAAGGTGTAGGAAGGGTTCATCCTGGTGTAAACTTCACAACACAAGGGAGAAGCGGAGCTGTGTGTGTGAACGTGTCATCAATTGGTCTTATATGTGGAGTGACTGATATCACTATAACATATAGTGAAGACCGCTGTACAATGCTCACAATTTTAATAACGTGATTTTGTATTTCAAGAATTATCACGATTCCTCTGTAATGTAGCAGTTCAGTATCTTTTAAGTCGCTCCTCTGAAGGGTAATACTAGATGTGACTGGTCCAGCCTTAGCACCAACTTGAGGAAATTTTTCTATAGAAGATAAAAACTTTCATACCTCAAGAGAATAACAGAAGTGCACGAGGGATGCATTTTACATAATTTCAATTTCAATTTGTTTTTATTTTTCATCTCCAGAGGAGTTGCCTATGTCTGCAACATTTTCTTTTCACAATCAAACATTGGTTTGTTTAATAGATTTATTTAGATACAGCTACTTTCTATATAATTTATCATTCATAAAATGAAGAGACCTTATGGAAAAATACCCATCATTCAATACTAAGATTTTTCTCCTTTGTAATCATAAAGTAGACCTCTTATATTATATTCTCTTATTTTCTTTTCCAGGTTTCATAAATCATGATAAATGAAGACACAATGAGTGAAGAAAGCTGTTCAAGTAAAACGCTCCCAGTCGGTGAAGAGAAAGAAAATGAGGAATGGACGGAAGACAAGAGTGGCCCAGATGGACACAGTAGTTTTGGCTCAACCGTACCGTCAAAACAAACACCGTCTGTCCTGAGATGCAATGAAGAGACCAACACAGATAAATTAGAAGAAGAAGCAGCTGATTTTATCAAGACAAACAAAGGGAGAAAAAAACAACTGATCCCAAAGAAATCACCAATAAAACAGAACCCAAAAAGTACACTGACAACCGAAAATGGGAGCGAGGGAGACAGCAAAATGAACAAGAAGACTCGCGGACTGAGAAAGAAGAAGGCGGTAAAGCATTTTGATTTCTTTTACGGGGAAGAAGATGATATTGACATTGATTATGATTCACCGACTGATGAATACCACCCCCCAAAATACGCTAGTGAGTACAATGATGATGATGATTTTGAGGATTCAGAATGGGAGACTAAGAAGAAAAGAGGAAGAAAGGCAAAGGCAGGCAACACTGAGAAACTTCCCAAGAAGAAAGGGATAACAAAACCAAAAGCAAGTGATACAAACAAGAGAAAAGGAAAAACAGATAACAGTGAAAAGTCTCCTAAGAAGAGAGGAAGAAAGAAAATGAAACCACCTGATAATGAGTTACAAGATAAGGAAGAAGGTGCCGATAAAAAGACAAAGAAGAGAAGGGGGAGGAAAAGGAAGAATAACACAGAATCGGAGGAAGTGCAGTGTTTAAGCATGCCTGATATTAAGGGAGACGATAACTCTCCTTCGGGAAATGTTAAACAAAGGAGGAAGAGGAGGAGACGAGGCAAAATACAAACTAACTCTTCAAAAATTAGATCCAGGGCAAATCAGTCTGCAAGATTGGACGAGGAAGACGACGAAGATGAACAAGGAGAAACAAATGAAGGCAGTCTTACTGAAGACAATCTCACAGGTGTTATGAAACAAGGCAGTCACGGTCCACCCTTCTCCGTCACAGGTTCGCTTGTCCTATTTTCTCAAGTTGCTTTGTGTGTGTGTCCATCAAGGAGACTAAACAAGGAAACCCCATCATCAGTTCAGACTTCATTAATCATTTTTATAGAGAATTGTGTATCTTTTTATTGCTCTTTGGCAGTGCAGATACACTACTGCACCTGTAGTTTATGTTTTACCAGTACAGTAGATTCCTGTACATATGTTGAGTCACCAGAATGTTTGGCCCCAGCTTATTTTACCTTGTGATTAACCATGCTATCCCAACTCAACAGACTGACTTCACAAATTCATGTTCCTTGTGTGTTACATTTTTGCACATATGGGTAGGGGTAGAGAGTAGGTAATCCTTAACTACTGTAATATAAAATTACTGTGTTTTATTGTTTGCAGGGAGTTGGTATATTGCTTCTGGTTATCTACAAGACTTGACATCGCTACTGCAGCTGTTTTGTGATGAAGAAGGATGGAGGTTTAAGGACTTTTCCTCTTCCTGGCAGAAATTTAAATTTTCCCTTATATACAGGTAGCTGTGTTGTTTTCCAAGTTTACATAAACAATGTAAACTTACTCTAGATGCTAAGTTTATTTATCATTTAGTGAGTATAGACTGTGAGTACTAAGGGTTGATACAGTAGTATTCTTTATATTTATGTTAATCAGTTACAACATCTTGGGTCATCACTGTTCACTATTACCGGTAACAACTACCCCACTGTATTGCTGTAAATGATTGGTAACAGTTTGTGTTTCTTCTTTTTTGTAAAGTGAACAGAAAGGGAATTACTGTGACTGTAGAAGGATCATTAGATATCAAAATATAATTAAAACTCAAGTACAAATAAAATGACTCAGTTAAGGGAAAATATGGGCTAGATTGTGGTACAGTTTAATAAAAAGGCAAAGATGTTCTTTTTGTACAGGTGATGTAAATCGTAGCATCAAACATGGAAGCTCTTGTAATTTAGGTCTCGCCTGGTGTATATTGTGGTGGGAGTAATGACTATTATGACACTCCTCCTCGGTGACAGAGGGCGCCAGAACTTCAAGGAACTGTTAGAGTTTTCGGAGGAGGCGGCACTGTTGACGACCCGCTTCATGGCACCACCTCACAAAATCAAGTGGAGGATTGGTGCTCTTTACACCATATATGGCCTCTTCTATAAACATCCATTTAGGTACATTACTTTTGGGTTATTTTTACTTAGTGTCTCATTCTTATATACCAGTAACTCCATTGTAACCAGTTAGCATTTCCTATGAAGATTTCCCATTGGTTAGAATCTCCACTGATAAAGGAATTAACTATTGGAGATTTTCTGTGTCCTTCAGTTCAAAATTCTTAACAGTATTACAGTTGTTAAAATTATATACCTGTAATCTTATTCATTTGCATCAATTTGGATACAGAATATCTTTTGAGACATTTCTAGATGGTGTTACTGCAGATTCGGTCCCACAGGATATGAGTTGTACGGTAGTTAGTCAGTCAGTCCACTTCATCTTGTTTTCTTCACCTCTGTCTTCCACACTATCCTTGGTATTTATTTTACTTCCATGTTTTAATTTATTTTGGTGTTTTCAGGCACTTCTTTAAGATTCGTCTCACAAAGGAGGATTACAAGAACCTTATAGACCTGGTGAAGAAATACTCAAGAGATGTAGAAAACCCAGACCCAGCGTATATATTCTACAAGATGGAGGTTGAGGGCGCCTTCCATCACGTGGCTTCTTCCACTGAGGTTGGTTGAGGTCTTCTTTCGGTACCTGTGCCGTGGTATTACAGACACTAATCAGATTACTGTACTAGCCATGATAGAGGCAACATGTTATCTTATAGGCTACCTCATCCCCGGCTTCTCCACTCGTCTTACCGAGTCGAACATCGCTAAACTGAATTTTTGACTTAACATTAAACAAGAAAAGTTGTTAAAAAATTTATATCGGTAAAATGAATTATCGTTTTGTGATTTAACGCTAAATGGGGGATATTGTACCAGTAGTTGACACTTCTTAGTAATGATGATACTTTACAAGATTAATATAAAACAAAAACTGTTACAATGCTAAAAGAAAGGTGACAGATAACACTTAAAGTTAATATATACCGTAACACTAAATTACCAAGAACAATGTCAGTGGTAGAAAACAGCAGTAGGAGGTGGACACGGCAGGAGGTAAGAGTAGGACTGGTAGCAGCATTAAAATACTTGGGAATTAATTTTTTTGTCTAGGTACATGACTTCAAGATGTGGTGTTATGAGGTTAACCATTAATACTCTGAAGTAGGTTGTATATACTTGGTCATGGCTTCAATTTAAAATTTAATAGTGACTCCTTTTAGTATCAATGGTGATAAAAATCTACTGTAAATCATTAAAACCATTTGTAAATAATAAAAAATTATTAAAACCAATGAAAAGGACATAGATTTTGTTTAAACCATTGGTATAAATTGGCTAAAGCTGTTACAAATCAATCGAAGAGAGTGACGATTTCCTCCCCACTCAGATGCTTCTTTGCAAACCTCAATAAGCTGAGATTTATCAGAGTGATCTTCCTATATCCATTTATTCTTCCACATATATGTACTGTAGTCTAGTTTAGTCCTCCCCTTCACCTTCATGTATCACTCAGACACACCACCAAGCTGATATTTACCTCTTCACTCTCCAAATGTCTTGTAGATGTGCCTGGACCTACACTCATCGGAGCGTGAAACAATTGACTTAATGTACGAATCGCATCGTCTTGCTCACGCGTCCCACGTAGATGCCGCTCTTATTCCCGACAGCCTGATCAGTGACGAGCGCCTCTTGACACAGTACCATAAGGTCAAATCGATTACTATGGGTAGGTACTTGAGGATACTATTTTATTGTTTTTCTTCATAGTATGTAATATGGGTCAGTGACTTATTCCGAGTGAGCTAATCCCTGTAATAAAAATGAGGTCTAATTTTGATGGAGCTTTGAATGATGTAATAGGTGGTGGTGGTGGTGAATAATTGTACTATTTTGTAAGAAAGTACCTCAAAGATTAAGGCCACACTTCAAGGTCATATAAATACTCTTTAGCTCCCCTTTTCACTGAACTAAATCTTTATAGGTTTTGCAGTAAATTCTGATATTCATTTCTATTCATAGGTGATGGGAATGAGCCAGAGAAGGCTGTACGTTTTGTGGAGCCAGTGTTCTCATCAGAAATTGACAATACTCTGAAAAAACTTAAAGAAGAAACCCTCATTGAGCTGGGGCTTAAGGAGCCCCCTGATAAGACCAGAGCAAGCACAATTGATCTGTCCGTCATAGGTAAGATAATTGGCTTTAAGCTTTATCCATATTTCAGCAACATCAGCACTTAAATTTCAGCTTCTGATATCATTTACTGTACTTGTTTTCAGAACAAGTCTGTGATTATTGTTTATAAAGGTACAGTAAGTTTGCAGAAATGTTAGTGTACGTTAGTTCATTACTGAAGGTTCTGCTTCGCCCTGAAAATTATTGTAAAGCACAAAAAGTTTTGCCTTTTTAAAGTTTGGCTTGGTCATACACTTTGATTATTATAATATTTTGTTCAAAAGCTAGTAATCTTAGTTGTTCACTTATATGTGCCAGTCTTATATATGACACCACACTTACAGATGTAATATAGTGACACAGCACCATACAGTTCTTCAGTGTCTTGTTTATCAGTTTCATAATGTTGTAACATCCTCATACTGTACTGTATTCTGGTACAGTAGATACTGTTGAATTTCTTTTCAGTTCTTTTCCTGTAAGGCTCCACACAGATTATTAAACCCACCACCAATAATTAAACTTCTCAACAATAAATTGTGATTATTAAAGCTTCTGTTACCCTGACAATATTTAGCATGAGTGCAGATTGTAATGCGTGAACTTTTCCTGAAAGTTACATTGAATAATGTAGATCGAGACAATATTGCTTTTAGCTTTTGACAGTGGAATCTTCAGTGGTAGATATTTTAAATGTGCAGTACAGTACAGTATATAGACATCAGCCTTTTAGTAAAGTATTTAAGGTTCCCTCTTTATCCTCAGGTACAAGAAGAGCTAATATTCGAAATAAAGCAGTGACTGCAGATACAAGTAAAGATTACATAAAGAAAAGGACAATGGTGAGCAAGTTTATTTATCCAGGAGGACATGTTCTGTCAAGAAAAAGAAACAAACTTCTCAAGAAAAATGAAGAGGAAATTGCTATAATAAGTGGTTTGTTAAACAGTGAGGCAAATGATACAGAAATTCAATCTGAGAAGTTGAAGGGTAGCGCTAGTAAAGGTGTTCACCAAAAACAGAAAGATTTTAGGGTGCCTGAATTTTATGCCGACAAGGGCGTGAGAACCTTCATGTGCCCACCCACAGCTAGTATACTTAGCATCCCATTAAAGTCCAGGAAAGGGGCTGAGAATTCATCTGATGAAGAAAACGACGCTACAGAGAACCTAGATGATGAAATTTCTTTCGGTATCAGCGATGTAGACGAGGAACATTGTGTTGATGACCCTGAAGAACAAGGGGAAGCAAAGGTATCCCCAAGTGTATGTACGAGTACTGTTTCAGATGTCAGTCAGAATGATGATATGGAAGATCTTAATATGGTACCCAAAGTGACTCCACCCACCAAGCGACAGAAAGAACCCCCAAGAAAAACTGCTCTCTTTAAGGCATTAAAAGAATCCATCGGAAACTCCCCCTCAAAGAAAAAACCGCCATTCTTATCTATGAAAAAGAAAAGGAAATCCAAGAAAAATGTTAGTGATGTGTTAAAAAGACATAAACAAAAATGCAAGTTAGTTGTTGATAATGTTGTTGATGTAGTACAGATAAAGTCACCCATCATAGATTTGCCACCTATTGAGACTACACTCATACCACCAGTGAAACTTCAAAATAGTGATGATGAAAGTTCCAGAAGAAACAATGTGTGCAAAGTACAAACAATGAATGATAGTGTACCTGATAGTGTACCTAATGATGCAAATTCCCAGCATACTGAAGAGCCTGTTACCATGGACAATCACTTAATAACAGTGGACGTGCACTGTACCATACCGGGAACTCAGTTCATTGAAAGGTTGAAGTTTGGAATAACGAGAAAGCATTGGCTAGCTATTAAAAACAACAGTAGGAAGATGGAAATTTTGAGAAAGAAATTATTGACATTACTGCCTCCTGAAGATGAAATTCTCAGAAACCATAACAATTCAGTCATCCAAATGTCTCTCTCTGTCATTGACGACAAGAAGAGCCTAATAAATGTCTCTCAAGAGTCTGATTCCCAAGGTATAGAATCAGAGCCTGAATCTCTTCATTTTCAAAAAGGAGAGAAAGTAGGTCACAAACAAGAGACTACTGTTCCATCAGAAACGAGTGGAAGAGGTAGTGGCATAAGGAAAAATGGAGGCAAGATGCTCGTGGTTCCTTTAAAGGTAGGTGGTATAACACGCTACTTTCCTGCCCCAACTGCTACAGAAATGAATTATACAGATACACAGCAACAACAACCACCACCACCTTCTCATGCTCAGGAAACTCCTTTGGTGGATAATTATCAGATTCCGCACTCGGCAGATGATTCAGAGACTCCAGAAAATTCGACAGTTAATGACAGAGCTGAGTCTCCAGATTTCGTATCTTCAGACTTGGGGTGGATGTCCCCACTATATGAAAATGAATTCAAGGATGATCTTACAGTTACGCCTTCTAAGGGAAATATTCAACATAAGAAAAGAGTGCTTGACACTAACTATTCCATAACAAGCTTGAACCAGAGTTTTATCTTGGAAAACCAGGCTGATGAAGGGCTCAGTGATAGCACATCTGTCACAATGATAGGTATAAGAAAAAGAGATAGAAAAGGGAATCTGGTAGAGTTTCCTGAGAAGATTGAAACTCAAGATGAGGAAGAGCTGAGTGATAGTATGAATGAGATGAGTAACTCTTCAGATAACCTTGATGTACCATTATCAGTCCAAAGTTCAGATGAGGTGAGTCAAGTCTCTGAATTTGTCTCACAAGGTAATTTGTTCATAAAAGCAAATCAAAGTACTAATTTTTCTGACTCGGTGGCATCAGTAACTCCGTCACCTGCACAAAGTCATCCTGTTTATCCACTACAAACATCTGTTCATGCAAGTTATCCTTACAATGGTAGAGTGAGTGGAATGACACCACATGTGCCATGTACACCTTTAATGACAGAAGGAACGACTCTGCCATTGTCTCTCCAGCCTTCACAGGTACAAGTTGAGGTTCCTTTTTCTCACTCTCAAGGTATTGTTTATTCATCCCCTGATCAAGTGGATGTGGCCAGCAATGCCCCCTTGGCTTCTTTATCTCCTGTTTCGTCTGTGTGTACTGTTCAACATGATTCAGCTGAAGGCGGACTTAACTCTAATACAATATCATCCCAAGGTAGGACACACATCTCTCCAACATGGGTACGTCAGTCCCAGGAACGTTACAGTAGGCATCTTAATAATGTTCGTATGACAAGCCTCTTTCCTAGTGACTCTGTCCGTATGGTTACACACCAAAAGGTTCCTGTATATCCCATTGATAAGCAGCCAACTAGGCTCATAGAGGACAAGCCAACTTTCCAGTCCAGTTTAGAGCCTATATCTTACGAACTCCCTGGAGCTGCAATAAATACACCCACGACACCAGCAAGTTTTACAAGTGTCCAACAGGCATCTCCCACTACCACTTCCAATCCAGGTTTTATCTCTGATGGTGAGTTAAAACACCTTCCAATTAGTAAGGGAATGAAGTATGTGAAAGTCAAAGTAAATGGTGAGTCTGTATTGGTGCCATTTGACAAAGTTCTACCAGTGACCAACACATCGCAAATACCTAATGAACCTGAAATTTTGGAGGTAATACAGGCAGAGGTACATCAAGCAGAACTCCACTCATCAGAAGGTGGATTCAGGAGAGACAGTTGTGATGATGATATGAAATTTGAGAAAGTCAGAGTTGAAGATTTGTCAACAGCAAATGTATTACCCGACCAGCAGTGTGTTGCTGCGTCGTCAGCAGCAGTACCTGGCAGTAGCAAGTATGGTAACATAGAGACAGATGTTAAATTCTCTGGTTCAGGTAAGGTGAGAGACAAGAAAGAAACTGGAATTAATTATTCCATGTTAAAACCCTCCAAGAAACAAGTTTGTTCATTCCTTTTCTCACCTAAGTACAAAGCTTTATCCTGTTTGAAAGAATCAGTAGGACTAGCAACAGGCACACCCATCAAAAAAGAAAAACCCCGCGTACCTTTCTTATTGAAACATTCGTTGGTTAGAAAAAAGAAAACTTAAGATAAATTTTGGTGCAGTGTGTCTAAAACTTAAAAAAAAAAATCCTCTTTGTTCTTATTTTAAAATGCTCGAAATAAAGTGTCACCCATTTATTATTGTTCTAAGATTTCAACAAGTGAGAGCCATTGTATACTTAGTTTAACATTTAGAGTTGAGAGAGACTAGTGATGATTAGATTTAGTAAAAAATTATGTAGACTATTTTTTTTAGCAATAGGGTGAGTTATGTCCATCATGTGTGTAATTAAATGAATTTTTCAGTGTTACACCAGCCAGCAGGTGTAAATAAAACTAGTGTAAGTTGGGACAGAACACACACACACTTCTTTACCACCCAATTATATTTTCAGTAACTGTGCCAAGTTTGTACTTATACGAAGCAATGATAATTATATATTGTGCAATAATCCTCTCCAGTTGGCATTCCTAAATTTGGAGGACTAATTCATAATTTTCTCAATGGGTAATGAAATTTCTAGTACATTTTTGGGTGTGGGGGGGGGGTAATATTCTGTGATAGTCGATATACAGTATTTTGAAAAGTAACTGGCAAATTCCACTCAATTTGTAACCCTTTGGAATGTTTACTACTGGTCATATTTTATAGCTTCATTAAGTTTTATTAAAATAAAGGTGTCATATGATAGAAATGCTGTACAGGGGGCCCCTGACTTACGAATGCCTGCCGATACGAACGGTGTTAAACTTGAGATTGACAGTATTTTATTTACCTGTTGACTTATTTTTTACTTTCATTTACTGTATTTTGTCATTCTATTTCTTCTTTTCTCTTAAAATAAGTTGTTTTAGATGTATACTGTACAGTATAAGTACTTAGGCTATGATATAGTGGGACTTTAAACATTGTTTTGTAAGTGCTGTACAGTATGCACATAGCATGTGTTCCATTTTTACATACAAATCTGACTTAAGAACGTCCTCTGGAACGGAACCCGTTTGTAACCTGGGGGACCCCCTGTACATGTGTCTCAAAAGTCACACATTTTTTTTTTTTTTTTTTTTAAGGTGAGAATTATAAGAGAAATTACACGAGAGGGAAGTTACGGTACAGTTTAATCAACAGCAACACCTGTAGGCCTGAGTGTTTTCAATTCAATTCTTTTGCAGCTGATGGGACTGTACAGTACTCGTGTGAACCACAAACTTAATTTTTTGCTAAAAAAAATTCTCCCAAACACACAGCATATACAGAGACTGTAAATAAATGCAGATCACATGAAGATTACCCCCCCCCCTACCATTACCTGGTGGGGCTAATCTTCAGTTGATCTCAGATGGCTGGTCTGTCTTGGATTTAGTGGTCTCGACTACAGTACATCACTGCTGTTTATATCTGAAATATGAATGTGTCTGTTAATTCTTGCTTACCCTGTATTTGCAAGCACTGTACCAGAATATTATGTAATGAAGGTGGATGAGGTAAAGTTGTATTTCATTTAGGTTGAGTTTTAATTGGTGTATAATTCAGCCTGAGGTGTTATGCCCCCATTTACACCAGCCAGTGTTATAGCCATTTGGTGGGACTCAACTAGAAAGCCATCAGTTCTATGTTATTCTGTATATAATTGACTTCTTCTACGTTGAGGCATTATTACAGCACCTTTTAGTCTCATGTTTTTCTTGTTATTCAGTACATTGTAAAGTACAGTATGAGAATTATGTGAAGAATTCTAAATACAAATTGAAACATGTAAACTTAATTTTCTGTTTAGCAAGGTGTTATTATGTTAATTGTTGAATTAAATATTATGTCTTGTATAGTACAGGTATCATGTTAGCATAATTAAAGTTTTTTTTACAATGGACTCGCATCTTGACACACTACTGATGTGCTTTCCACTATACCATAGAATACAGTCATCATTCTGATTAACCCCTTTGCTGCTCTTTAATTTAAAACTAGGGTATTTTGTGAGCAAATGAGGGAATGTCTATGTTGCTTATGATTAATCATCCAGTGTCTCGAATTGAAGTGAAAGTGAGTCCCCATAAGTCTAATTACCCAGCAGCACACTCTAAACTAAGCCTTCAGCACACAGCATCCTAGCACCACTCAACCACTTTATCCCCCCCCCCCTTCTTCATAAATGAAGTATTTCTCTTTTCTTTCTTTTATTTTCAATAGACAAAATATTGTCTTATATATATGTTGAGAAATGAGTTTTTATTTTTGTATTTTTGTATTTTTTTTTTTTAGTTAAGAGCTGAAAATCCCATAGGTTGTGTTGTGTATTATGTTGCAAAAGGAAAATCGTGTCAGGTAAAACAAGTGAAAATTGCCATATTATGCTTTCTCCCCATACAGTGTATGTGTTTACTGTACCAGAGATCACGTGAATATTAGCTTCCCTAACTTATTTCATATGATGATTAAACACTCATGCTATTCGATGGGGTTAGGCAAAGTGATAGTTAATTAAATTAGATTAAGTTTGGTAAGGTTAGCTTGGTGTTAGAAAAGTTAGTGTTAAACTAGCCTTAGGTTAGGCTAGCAGTAGGGTGGTTAATCTTGAGGCTAAATAAGCTGGGGCTAATCTTCAGGTGATTCAGAATATGTAGGATTGAGTGAGGGCACAAAATATTATGCTATATGTACTGTTCTTGAAAAAATTATTACTGAATAGTTTTTACACCTTTTCTTGTTCATGTATTATTATCAAAGTACATTTAAGATATAGGATGTTATTAATATTTGTGCTGTATGCTTTTAAATACAGTACAGTAATGTAAATATTGTACAGCAATTACATGTGACTACTGTATGTCTTGATTTTGGTAGTGTTGTATATGGTAGAGTGCCAGCTGAAACTGACCACCACTCCAGATAACTCTCTGTGATCTGAAACATAAGTGGAAAACATACAAAATATGGTACAATATTTTTATATGTAGGTTAATACCGGGGCCGTAACCAGCCTTGATGGCGCCCAGGGCAATGGCTGAATTTGGCGCCCAGGGCGGCTGCCACCCACTAGGTACACCCCTGGTTAATACATGTACAACAATTAATTGTATTTTCTTTTTACCTTCGACATTTAAGAGAGGCTTTAGGTACTGTATTTAGCTGTATTTTGTGGCCATGAAATTTTTTTCTCGGAAGTTATACACAGCTCCCACGTTAGGTACTGTACTGTATGAAGGTAATTTAGAAATACTGTACAGTACGCACACATTCCAAAAAGTACCTTTCCGGAGATGGTCGGATGAATTTCAAAATGAATACTGTGAATACGGTATATAACATGCTTTAAATACGTACAATACTTACCTTAATTTTTTTTTTTTTTTTTTACAGTATCCAGACATCTTGAGGAATAGCTATGCTGTATATAAATAAGTTAGCTTTAAATTAGAATACAATATCAGAATTCTTTTATTTATTAATTGTTCATAATTACCCAGTATAGTACAGGCTATAATATTTTTATTTTTTTAAGTACGTGATAAAATATAAATTTATTCTTTCAAGTTGGTAAAATATTTGATAATTTTCTTTTATAAATTAAACGAGAAACTCATCAAAATTTTACTCTTTCCTTCATCATAAAAGCTTAACCCCTTGCGTACAAGCTCCACTCTTGGCTGAATAAAAATGTCTGGCATTAGAAAAGTAAAAGTGTTAAATGTGGCGTCCACATAATCAAGGGGTTAACCATTATATAAAACTGTGATTAGTTAATTTTTAAGTAACTAGCAAACAGCAGAGTTCGATGCAGTGGCTGTTAGCTTCCATAATATGCTTACCGGTACTGTACTTTAGTCAGGTACACTTTTTTCGCCAGTATTCTAAGGTGTGGCCTGCCATCTGTCCATGAATTCTCCGACTCCATTTTAAAAACCTCAAAAATGTTATTAGAACACAGTAAACATGTGATAGTTTACTAAGACAAAAAATAAAACATGAGTTGTTTGTCAAGTATAATAAAACCAACATTAGCAGTTGAGTATACATGATATCTTGACCTATAAACCACAGGTCTCCAAAAGATACAAGTTTGGTCACTATTCATTCATCCAGTCTGCAGCCACACTCGAGGTTTGTCTTGAAGAGAGTTTTGGGGGTGGCATTGGGCCTGTTCTGGGGAGGCAAAGGTCAATGAATATAAAGCTGCCAAGTAGTGATGTTCCTATATGTCTTCTACTATAGGTTTGGTTAAAGAAACTCCACCTCAGCTTATTTCATATAAAGATTAACCACATTTATGTTAACTAACCTAGTCTACCCCTCATCCCCCCAAATAGTGTTAAGGTGGTTAATCTTGAGTGAAATGTTGTGATGGCATCGAGTGTGAGCTATTTTAAGACCAGATTTGACAAGCACTGGAGCAGGTTCAGATACATTTAGGCAGCAATGCATGCCCAGTACTTGCCAACAGTGCATAACAGACATGACCGATCGCCAAATGGCTAACGAGCCGATCAGTGGTGAAGAGTATGAAAGGAAAAGAAATAAGCTGGGATGGAGATTCTTTTGGTGATCCCCATTTTCCCTTACAAACAAGCAATACATCGACAAATCAGTACCTTATCATTATTGCATACAGTATTTATGAATTGTTGGTTAATGCCTTAAATAAAAAACCGGCAAGCAGCTAGTACATTGTGCACATTATGTCCTGTAACGACCTTGGGCTGAAATACTTGTCAGTCTTCCATACCAAAAGTGAATAAATGATATTTCCGTAAAAAGACGAATTAATGCAAACTACAGTACAGTGATTTTTACCTCGATAACTATACTGTACTGTAATGTAGCTTCTGAAATCATTTTATGCATTCCACACAAATACCTATAGTCTTTATTCGGCTTTTGTTGTCAGTAACGGAATAGTCTTTACACGTGTACTGTAATAAAGATAAAAATATATAATAAATAATAAAAGAGTGAGACTCAACTCTAGTAGTGGATACACTTACGCTGTATTATCAAGGTATTACCGGATGTGTTATCTGACTTCCAAGATACTGAAGTAGAGCTGTCTGCCACAGTGGTGGCTTGACAGTTAGCACCCTCCCTGGTACAGTTGTAGTGGAATTCTCCCCTACAAACGCTGTTTGTCGCTGCCTAGCCGACCCCACCAATTCCCCAGTGTATGCCTCGTGGTCTAGGTCAACCAGCGCCGCCATACACCACGGAGCGGGGGTCAACTGCTAAGCCACGCCTACCCCCGCTATTTAAGACCTGACCTCGTGGTGATCTGTCTCTCCTTCTACCTACACCAACCAGCCAGCAACACCTCCTCCGCCGCTGCCTGGCGGCCTTCGCTCCTCCGCCTGCCTGGCGGTACTCTCTCCCGCTGGCGAGCGGTACTCTCTCCCGCTGGCGAGCCACAAGCTGTCCTTCTCTGAGCGTCCTCACCAACCAGCTCTCTCTACATCACGCTTGTAACCATGCTGCCTTCCCAGCACCAAGCTGCATTGTACATCCAATACAACATGTATATAGAGAGCACATTGTGAGTTTCCTTTCTCCATCCTCCTGAGTGTGAACCAAACATCTCATACCCCACAAATGGTGACTCCCGGAGATTCGCACTCACACAGGATGGAGGAGAAACTGATCACGCTCCCAGTCTTCAAGCAACATGGAAGACTGGCTTATCCACCCAGAAGCAGCTCTCATCGGCTCTACAGCTACTGTCTCTACACCGCAGGTCAGACACCCTAGAGCAGCTCTGCTACTCTAAGCAGACAGTCGCTCCTCTTACGACCCCAGCACACCCGTCCTGCCTCAGACGCCGACCCCGGCCCAGCAGTAACCCCTGCCGCCACTGATGCGGCCTCTGTTCCTGAGTGCGGACCCACACACCCCTCTTTCTCCCTCAGGTACTCCCTGCTAATGTCCTGCACCCTGCTGCTGTCGTGGACCCAGCTGCTGTCACGAGCCCTCATCCGCTTCTGCTGACGCAGCCCCTGCTCCTGACCCAGGCCCACACACCCCAGCAGGCGCATCTGACGACTCTGTTCCTGCCGTGAGGGAAGCACAACATTCATCGCCTCCACACACCCTTATTCTCCCTCAGGTACTCCTTGCTAATGTCCTGCACCCTGCTGCTGTCGTGGACCCAGCTGCTGTCACGAGCCCTCATCCGCTGCTGCTGACACAGCCCCTGCTCCTGACCCAGGTCCACACACCCCAGCAGGCGCATCTGTCGACTCTGTACCTGCCGTGAGGGAAGCACAACATTCATCGTCTCCACACACCCTTATTCTCCCTCTCTACTCCCACAGATATTGTGTATCTAGACAGTTGTATCCAGCGACCGGCTCATCACGCCATCGCCGTTGTCTCACATGAGGCACGCACCGCCCGTTCTGCCTCACATGTGCTATGCAACCCTGCAGACAACAAGTCTCCTACACAGCCTGGAGGGAAGGGGGAGTATTGTAGTGGAATTCTCCCCTACAAACGCTGTTTGTCGCTGCCTAGCCGACCCCACCAATTCCCCAGTGTATGCCTCGTGGTCTAGGTCAACCAGCGCCGCCATACACCACGGAGCGGGGGTCAACTGCTAAGCCACGCCTACCCCCGCTATTTAAGACCTGACCTCGTGGTGATCTGTCTCTCCTTCTACCTACACCAACCAGCCAGCAACACCTCCTCCGCCGCTGCCTGGCGGCCTTCGCTCCTCCGCCTGCCTGGCGGTACTCTCTCCCGCTGGCGAGCGGTACTCTCTCCCGCTGGCGAGCCACAAGCTGTCCTTCTCTGAGCGTCCTCACCAACCAGCTCTCTCTACATCACGCTTGTAACCATGCTGCCTTCCCAGCACCAAGCTGCATTGTACATCCAATACAACATGTATATAGAGAGCACATTGTGAGTTTCCTTTCTCCATCCCATCCTGAGTACGAACCAAACATCTCATACCCCTCATCACATTCATCACATTACCACCTCTCTATCATTACTGGTAGAGAGATACTGCCTGGGCTGTGTAAGTATGTCTGTGCAGTATTACCAAAATTTAACATTTAAGAAGCAATAATTTTCTTGTACAGTGCCGCAATATTGTTTGTCTGGTGGAGAAACATCGTACAAATCTGATGAAAAAATAAGTATTCAAAGTGGAAACTCAGTGACATGCATGTTATTACTGATCTCCCGATAATCTTGTTGGCAAAAATGTCATTTATAAATCTTTTCATATGCATGTATGTGTATGTGTTGTACTCAATAAATAAGAAGGAATATCCAATATTGGAATCCATAAGTATGACATTCCTTGTACAACAAACTCAACTGTATAAGGTGTAGCGTAACAGTATTAAGCTGTAAGTAAAGACAACAGCATCGTCAGCGTTACTCCCTGATAACAGACGAGAGTGGTAATAAGTTTAATTTTTTAATTATGTATGATGGTCAAGTGCTTCTATACAGATAATTTTTCCGCAGCAACATGAAGTCACCTGTACCACAAGACGCCAAGACCTTCGTCACATGGTGGACTATGGTGAAGGTAAGTGTACAGAGTTGATGTTATAAAGCATTACTGCGCCTCAACAGCTTCGGTCTTTAACAACGTTTTCACAATTAAAAATTTCATATACATTATTTTTTTATTTTAAGAATGTTGTTATCATGAGTAGAGATGACAATTATAACGTCAACAACCCCCCTCCCCCTCCAGGAGAAGCCTAGCCTGATGACGAAGGCGAAGCAGAAGCTGGGCTCATGGGAACTTGTGGAGGAGCACTTCCAGGTACAGTTACTATGTAGTACCTGACACGGGCCTTATTTTGGTCACTTACATTGAACCAATAAATATATTCACAATAGAAAATTTTTAAATTCTGCAGCAAAAAGTTATGGGAGATGACATTAATGTCAAAACACGGTAAAAGAATAGATGGGTAGGCAGTAACCAGCACAGTATTAAACTATTAAATTTTATACGTGGTAGGCGGGGGCGTGGGAGGCGGTGGTAGGACTGGCGCTACACACCTCACCAGAGACAACACATATCACTCTGACGGAGGACCGCCCCTGGGACCTACCCGGACTTCTGCCCGTCCTCACCGCTCTCTTTAAGGTAACTCATCCTCACCTGGGTGTTAGAAATATTACAGTGTAATGTTTTATGTTCGTGGTGCTTGAGATATTATAAAAACGGGTTCAATAGCCAGTGCGGACCTGACATGCTTTGTAATTTTCTATATATTTTTGTGTTGTTGCTGTAGGTCGATTGCGATTGCGTGGTTGATTGGCGGCGGGATTGGAGGCTGGAATCGGCAAAGGGAAGCATAACGCCAGTCATGGCCGCCCTCCTGCAGTGTTCCAAGCCCTCTACAGTAGAGGTGATCCTCCCTGACGATCAGTTCTCCTCTAACCTCTCCGCGCTGCCAGCTATCTTGGACCGTCTCGCCCACACTTCCTGCTCTCTTAATATTTTACTTGAAGGTGACTTTCTGGCTCAGAATGACTTCTACATATCCGATTACCTTCTCTTGCCTTTACTGGATGGCAAAGCCCGCGTCAGACTAAGGAGGCTGTCTTGCCACATGGATGTGGAGGCCGCCGAGAAGTTCTTCCAGGAGGATGCTCAAAACGATAGTTCTGACGAGGACTTCCCCGGCGTGAGGCACCGCCCAATGTTTCACGCCACACCCTCCATACGCTATTTAGAAGTGCTTAAGATTAGGATATCTTCCTTGGAGACCATCGTAGCCCTCAACCGGAGTCTCCCCTTGCTAGAACTCTTAGATGAATTAGAAATTCACCTCACCCTCCAAGGTTTTGTCTTCTCTGAGGACATCCCCCAACTCTGCTACACCAGAGACAAGCTGACACTGCGTCTTAACAGAATTACAGATGCCCGAGCAGAGTGGGCGGGGCGTGTGACGGCCGCCCTCAGTAACCAGTACGCCCAAGTTTGGTTATGTTGGTGTTATATGACGGCCGCAGGCGGGGAGGTGTTCCTCGACCAGCTGAAAATCAACAGGACACTTGTCGGGGCTGTACACGTGTTCGCCCTATCTGGCCGGCCTTGCGCCAGCGAGTTCTCTTCCCTCTCGACGAAAGCCGCCCTCCTCGCCACCCACACCGCCCTTTACTGGTAGCTGTATGTACGGTATGCATGTATGTACGTATGTATCATCTGATGCAAAATAAACTTTCAGTCCAATTGCGATAAACTACCAAATCAAGATGCAAACACTAGGAACATTAATGCTACTAAGAGGAACCATAATGAGTATAATTATACAGTATAGTACAAATTAATGATTTAGACCACCAACAAGTATAATTTTAATTCCCTCTAGCTTACTATTTACCATTGTTTATATACCCCCATCTCTGTGTACACTGTTTGTATACCTGGATAAATTGTAGAGTTGTATAAATTTATGGCAAGTGAGAGTGAAGGAGGACGCATGTTGTTCTTCTCTCAGCCTACAACAACAACAACAGACGACTTGGCGTTGGCTTGTGTTATTAACCATCCACCTTTATATATGGCGGGGCTACTAAGTTAAAAGTAAGTAAACCTGCACTTTCTGGGGGTGATTGAAGAGTTGATGATGTTCCTATGAGAGTTAAGAAGTAATGAGTGATGTTAGTGAGGTAATAAAACAGGTGAGAGACGCCGCCACCTGACAGACGCCAGCCTCCAGCATCAAGGTGATTTAATAATTATTTGGTGGTAAACGTGGAGGAGACAGCTACCATCTATTTTTCCAATAATATATATAGTTAGGTATTGTAGAGGCTGTTTTTATTTATTTAGTTTCTGATCATAATGTTTACCAGATTGAAGGCAAGGGTGCGACGTACAGTGATTTACTTGCATATAATTTAAAGGGACGACTATTTCACCCGTTGATGATAAAAACTTTAATGCTAACCTAACCCTTCATTTAGGACTGCATTAGAATGCTTAATCATCGGGTGAAATGAAACTAATAAAGTGGAATGTCTAATCATCCTGCGATCCCAGGAAAATTTTGGGATAAGAATTTAATGAGTGTTGTGTTCACTACAGAAGACAGTACCATACACACATAGTCATGAAGAGAAAGAGTTTTTATAAATGTGTGTATAAATACTGTATGGTTGAGGTGTTATTTTGATTTACATTTTTAAGTTTGGGTATTCACTAAACATTTATATTTTGTTTGTCAATAATACTCAATATAGGTCGTGGTAAAGATGTGTATTAAGTTTACCTTCTGTGTTCTCATAAATGAAAACTGACAATCACTTAATGTTAATATAAGCTAGAGTGAACACTAAATATTGCCATCTGAGACTAAACTTGAGGTTGACTTGATTATAATGATACTCGATGGTTAATTCCTACTAAAATTCCTCTTCCAAAACAGTATAGTATGTAGATTCACCCAAGAAAAGTTAGCATTATATTTTGACTCGTAATTTATGAATGGTAATGACTAACTTATGATTAGTGTAGTTGAAATTTTTCCTTTTACCTTAGTTGGGTGGAAGACTGTTGTATTCCTTCCAAATTTATGTCAAGAAAAAGACACCTACACAGTCCCTGGTTTAGTAGGTTTATGCAATCTTTTTTTATTAAAGGTAAAAGGTAATGTGTATACTGTATATGTGGTGATGGTGCATGTTTACAACTCTACTTTGATACCAGTTTGTAACAATCAGTTGTTGTGGAAATATTTTGCTTGAATAATGCCATTTGTTAATGCTATACTGTAGTAGTAGATTTGGCAGTATACTGTTCAGTATTAAATGTTCATTAAGACTGTTATTTTCATTTTGATATCCACATTGCAGTTTGTACTTAGTTGTTTTGTCTCTTGTTTATATTTTTTTGGTGGAGCTTGTGTAGCTGGGTACTGGTAATATACTGGTAAGAGCTTGTAACCTAATTCACTATATAAAGTAAAATCCAAATTTTTTTATTATGGGTACTCTACTTCACATGCTCTTACATTAAATAGCTGGGGTACCCAGCTACACAAGCTCTGCTGTACTGTTGCCCATGTTGCATTATTCAACTTTCAAACATTTGGCTTTGAATGTGTTGTTTTAGGTATGGGAATCTTGTCTGCTGTGGAACAATCTTGTGAATTCCTGAGGATTCAGACTTGTTAAAATTTTAATATTAATTCCTTGTAGACCTGCTATACAGTAATTCTTTTTTAATAATATCTGTACTGTACTTTGTATCGTGTTATGAACTTTAAGGTGCATCAATATAGGGCTCCACAGTTCTAAGGTACTACAGTTCTTAATATTATCTACTGGGTGCTGCTTTGTACTGTAGGTAAGTTTTATACTGTGCTGCATTTACTTATTGGCAGATCATATAAGGAATTAAATTTGCAAGTGTTATATCCATATTTCGACATATTCTTTACCTTCATATTCCCTTGAACAATTTTTATGGGTAATATCAGAGAGTAAGGTTCTGTGTAGGACACTTGTTATGTTGTGTGAGTGTTGAGAGTCCTGTGTCTGACCCAGGTACTGTAGTGTATTAGTCAAACATGTAGGTTTAAGAGTTGATGAAACATTGTATGGTTTTAAAATTACAGTACAAAAGAGTCTATAGTCAGTGATAAGGATATCTTAAAATGAAGTTATTTAGATTACGTTTTCAAATTCATTTGTAATAAAGGATGAATCACTTAAATGTTTGTATTTTTCTTATAGAATAAAAGAGTTTATATCCCAGTACAGTAGAGTGTATATGCTCCATATAAAGTGTTAATTACATGGTAGATCTTTAGTGACACCAAATGGATCACCTGAGGAATGACCCCCTCCCTTCCCCTGGCTTGTTATGACTGTTCTCACCCTGTGGGTTGGTGTTTGGAAAGGCATCCAGCCATATAATTTTGCTTCAGTGTGCTTGATGGAAATCAGATCTCCAGAGCTGTTCCCATACTTGGTGTCTGCTGCATTTTCTTGGCTGGTATACTGCCAGTGGTTTGCAGTGGTGAACAGGAGAGGGGGGACATTCCATTCTGGGTTTACCTAAAAGCTGCCATCAGGTAATCACAGCCAATACATAGAAGCATGGAAAATGGCCTTAAAGCTCACCCTAATTTAACATAACCTAACTCTCCTGGTAGCATTATGGCAGTTAATATTTAGGTTAGGTTAGGTTAAATAAGCTAGAGGGGGGGGATCTTCAGGGGATCCCACCAAACTAGTGAATGTGTATTCTAGTTTGATTATTATTTCCTCTGCATGCTGGATAAAACCACACTAAGTTATTTTTAAAATCCAAGAATATTAACAATTGTCAGATATGTGCTTCATGTTGTTTGATCTCCGTGCATGCTGCCGGGGCATGAGATGTACGGAAAGCGGCTCAAAGTACTACTCATGTGGCAGGACAAGTGATAAGATGAGTGGGGACCAAAGTTGGGGTCAGTCAGCCCAAAAATATGTGTTATCTTCAGAACAGTGTTATAGTCTGTTGTTAATGTTGTAACATTAATCATCAGATCTCTACTTACACTTTATTTCCTTTAGTTGTCAAAATATATACTGGATACCGGTATACCTGATTATATACCTGTACAAACACAGCAGGAAATAAGACTGCTTGAAGATGAAAGAAAAAATTAAACTTCATACTTTTTTATGTGTTGCAATGAATGAGTCCAGAAATGTTTATACATTGACTCGTGCAGTGACTCACCTTCAAGGTTGGTGTTTGTGAAGTTGAATTGCTCTTGTTTATCATTGTTAGACAAGATGATCATTGTTGGATACTGTACAGGGGTGTATGAAAATGGTAAAATTTCATTTTATTGGTACACTACCTGTTTACAGCTTCTCTAAATGTTCATATTTAAGTATTGTACAGTATCACACTGTAAACTTCTCTTCATTGCTATTAAGAGTAAAGCGTCTTACGAAGACAGTCGCTGACCTTGGTCGTGGCTGAACTAATAATTCACGCATCTGTCTCTGGTGTTTCACTTGATAATCTTGCTCTGTGTGTGCCGTAATGCCAGGAATCATTTATGGATGTTAACATTGTCTCTGGGGTATATGGAGTATATGGTATTGCGCTGGATGTTTTTCAGTTATCACTCCGATGGTATAACAATTTGGAGTAATGATTTATCCCATTGTGGATACGTTGAACTACTCTGTTGTATAAAACATTGGTCCCAAAACATTTGAAACTGATCAAATTTTTGTTACACATTATGCCTTGAGGCAGTGTTGCCACAGGTACCCTTTGCTTATTTACAGTGAGTGCTTTTTGTTTTTAATTAGAGCACCCATGATTGTTTTCTGTTTCATTTTGAGTAGTCGTAGATCGCTAAATTTTATTAAGTTGAAATGCAAGTGAGCTTTTGGTGGATTTTGTTTTTATGCCTGTGGCCTTAAAGTCGAAGTGGTTTTATTTGGAGTCCTACTGAAAAGATGCATCATCTTCCTCAATCCTTTTAGTCCTTAAATGCGTCAGAACAAATTTGGCCGGGTTTTAATAGTTTGATAATTTTCAGACTTTGAAAAAATATTAATTCACTTGCACATATAAACGATGTCAGTTGAACCTCCTACCCATGAAGAGATCCAAATAGACGATGAAGTAGAAGAAATTGAGGAGGAGGAAGAGGATGAGGAGGAGGTGGATGAGGAAGAGGATGTAGATGAAGAGGAGGAGGAAGAAGAGATAGAGGAAGTGACACATGGTAGGAGCACTGGCAGAGGCCTCACCTTGAAGACTCTGGTGAAGGAAGGCATCTTACAGCCTGGCGAGGGACTCATGACCATCAATTATCTGGTAAGGTCATCATACGATATCTTGCGACTCAGTCGTGCCGCGTTCTGCTTCACGCGGTGTTACGATGTATGGTAGTCACATAGTGTTACTTATGATGTTTGATATTTTACAGTCGTTTAAAATTTGCTCCTCACAGGCTTACATAATTGTGCAATTCATTACATTGTCACAGTCTGATGATAAACATTTGGTTAACTGTTATATGATAGCTTGTCTATCATGCTGAGGTGCCGTGCATATTACAGTATGTTTTTGTGATATTTTATCACACTCGGATATACCGTACAGTATTTAATTCATGAAGTAGGAACCTGAATTCTGGGTCCAATGCACTATTGTATTTCAACACAAAGTAGGAAGCTTGAAATATTTCAGTGCAAAAGCTGTGTTGTGTGACTTTATAGTACAGTACATCACAAACCATGTGTGCCTCCTGGCTGGAAGGCTTCATGGCAATCCTCAATAGACTTATCAGTGACTCAGTACTGTACCTTGCTTTGTTAAATAGTGATCAACTACTCAAAATGAAACTTTGGTGACAATTGTTGGCAAAAACTGTTGCTGACTTTACAAGCAAAAGGCAGCGTCACATTTGGAGGAAAATTTCATTTGTATCCCCAGGAGCTAAAGCAGACTTCATTAATGACCCTTTGCTGGATTATGGGAATTTATCATTTACGTAAATATTCGTTGATTTACACATGATAGAATTCATTATTATTGGATTTTTATTGTTAATTTGTTATTTGATTACAGAACATAATGAGAAAACTAAATGATACGATTTTGACAATGAAATAGTGACTTGCTGTTTTCTCATTATCATCTTCATCACCATCATCATCATCATCAGTGACTTGCTTCAGCCAGTATTGGAGTTGGTGTTGCTCTCTGGTGTCAAGCACTTACACGTGGGTGCAGCTCTCGGGGTTGAAGGAACTAATTTGGTATTAGAAGCTTTATAAAAACCTTATAATTCTATTTTCAGCTTTGAAAATGCCATGGAATGTATGCTAACAAAGCCTTACTACTGTTAATGGTATGAACACTGCATGATCATAACTACCTATGGAGAAGTACAGTACAGTATTTAAAATGCCAATTGATCTCTGCCTGTAAGTTTTATATCATTATTTGTTTTATCAAGAAAAAAGGTACAGCATAGACTGAATTACTGCACTGTACTCATAAAATGTACAGTATGTACCTGTAACTCCTCATGGAAAGTTTGGCAATGGTTGGGTGAAAACTGAGAGTATAGTTAATGTATACACGGACTGACTGACACACTCTTTGTTTCATTGTAGTACTGTGCTGTGCTGTACTGTGCTGTACTGTACTGTACTGTATATTTTTCAGTTTGTTGGGGAGTACTCATAAATTTATTAGTGCAGTAAATACATACTGTTAGTGATGTTCACTAGTAATAAGTCAGTGTATGAATCAAGTCTTTCTGCAGTAGATTTTCACTTTGATATGTGGGGACAAAAATCAAACCACAAAAACTTGAGAATTTGTTTTACAAATGCAAGATGAAAGTATAATACAGTATATAAATTTACACACAGACTGTTGAGTAAGTGAAAAATATTTTGGCGGGTTTTGCTCCTTTGCTTACATTGCAGTTGATTCTTACAGCTTTGAAGGGGCTGTAGATTAGAAGGTTTCTTGCCATAATATAACAACTTCTAACACACTACAGTACAGTACTGTATCATCATAGTAGGAGTTTTATTAATCTTTTGAGGTTACTAATATAGACTTAATTTATTGTAGAAATTAATGGTAATATTTCTGCCTTGATTACTTTTGTATATTTATGAGATTATGTTACTGGATCCTTGTACTCAGCACCATATGTTTGTGTGGCATATTTAGTGGTGTACAATACTGTATCTGGATGGCACATTAATTAAGTCACTTTAATTAACCATTGTGTATTTGTGTGACTAGGGGAACAAGTTCAAGGGTGACCTGTTACCTGATGGGAGAATTCGTTCACAAGAAACAAACAAGATCTTCGGCACACCCAGCGCATGGGCCATCTACTGTAAGAAGATCGTCAACCCAGACAAGAAGTCTGGCTGTGGATGGGCGTCGGTAAGACTTCTGTCAGTGGGGAGTGTTAATTTTATCACCTTTTCCCCCTAGAAGTATACAATATTTTGCTATGTTATATTTCATTTATATTTAGACTTCATACAGTCTTCTATAGGATGGCTTTATATTATTTTCTTTAAGTATATTAATTTATATGTGTTTTGTATCTTCAGCTATTTTGTTTTATTTTTTTACCAGAATACAGTTTTATTTATCATGTATACAGTGTTTTTGTTATTGATTTATTTATTGTTTTATTATGATGTGATTTATATAAGTATTTCTTTGTTTTATTGATTTATTTATTGTTTTATTATGATGTGATTTATATAAGTATTTCTTTGTTTTATTTATCATTACAGCATCTTGTTTCTTCCTTCACACCAACAACCACGGCAGTCAGTGTACCATAGGTCTGTGATGTGTTGTTGTTCCTCCCTTGTCCCTGCTATTTGAGCCACACATCTTTCTAATCCTACTCCAGCTGTTCTTGTCTCTCTTTATGCTTCACATTTCCCCTGGATCCTCAATAGCCCTTCTTTCTCTATAAGTTGTAACCAAACAGGGTGAGGTTAAGAATTATTTACGATTAGGAAGTAAGAGCATTTTGTTTTTTTCCAAACTCAAACCAACTTCAACTAACCTTAACAAATAAATTATTTATCTTATTTCCTTCTCTTAACTGATCCCTAATCTTAGTCCATTTTGGCTCCACTTACACAGAATACCCTCTGTATGCCATTATTGAGGCATTATTATGAAATACTATACTGTTTTTTTACCACCTCTGGCATTAAATTTGTAATGGTACAGTCGGGGTCAAAATTCTTGAACACTCAGCAATATCTGGCATCTACTTCTGAGTTTATATATATATATATATATATATATATATATATATATATATATATATATATATATATATATATATATATATATATATATATATATATATATATATATATATATATATATATATATATATATATATATATATATATATATATATATATATATATATATATATATATATATATATATATATATATATATATATATATATATATATATATATATATATATATATATATATATATATATATATATATGATTGGGATATACTAATAACACTACTTGTCATCACATATTATGCCTGAACCACATAATGGGATAAAACTCTCCTTAATATCTAAGATCTTCGGGTACTTACATGCCAAATACTGTCAAGTGTTCAAGACTTTTGACCCCAACTGTACATGTTTTAATATAATGATAAACTGGAAAATATGTTTTATGTCTCTTGTCAACACATACACTGATGATATCAATAATAGACAAACTCTATTACCATCAGGTACGTTATCGTGGAAAAAAGTTGGACTCCTACAAGAACAATTGGTTCCGGCAGAAGCAACTCGAATTTGAGAAAGAGGGGGAAGCATTGGGTAAGTCCTGTGCTATACGAAGAGTGCGGGGAGATATGATATAAGTATTTAAATGGGTGAAAGGAATCAATAAAGGAGATATAGATAAAGTTCTTATCATATCCGAGCAGAATAGGACTCATAGCAACGGATTTAATTTGGATAAGTTTAGGTTTAGGAGGGAGATAGGAAGGAACTGGTTCACAAATAGGGTGGTGGACGAGTGGAACAAGCTTAGCAACTTTGTAGTAACTGCTGGAACGCTGGAAAGTTTCAAAAGGAGGCTGGATAGATTCATGGATGATAGAGAGTGGTAGTAACTCTCGACAGGAACTGCCATGCACAGGCCAACCGGCCTATTGCAGACTCCTTATTTTCTTATGTTCTTATACCCGTATAGTTAACCCTTAAATGTTTGCCATCGGGAATAGCAAACTGGAATTTTGTTTTTACATGATACACTGCACTATACCTGCTTAGACAACAATTGTTTGTTTGATATGACTTCTTATCTGATGATTCATGTTGCTGCAGATGAGGAGGAGATGACTGACAGTGACAGTGATGGACCTCATGAGCAAGAGATTGTTGAGTTTGAGCTGATTGGCAATAGACATCCTAACCAGTAAGTACAGGAGTGGATATCCTCACTGCTGGAAAGACATTATACAAATTCTTGGCCAGGGAAGTCATGGAATTCTACTCGTATCATATTAATCATAAAAAAATAAATATTCAGGAAATAGAGAGATAATTAAGTGCAATATGTGATGTTTCTCAAGTCAACAGCATTGGACACCAGGACCTCTTAAGTTGTACCTCCTGTTTATGTAAATTATGCCTTTCTGTTTTTCATCCCAAGTAAAAACTAATTTATTGATCTTGATGCAGTGGGCCTTTTCCCCCTCAATATTTCAATGTGAGTCTTGCAAACTTTCTGCTTGGCTGGAGTCACTTAATAGGTTCCCAGTGTTAACATCTTAATTGACCCTCACTTCATGGGTATCCTTTTACTCTCTTTAGTCTCCTTATTTGCATTTTCATGTTTCTTCTTCCTTGGTCTTTCTATTGTCACTATTATTTAACAAAGAGTAAAGATAATTGTAATTTTTCACTCATCATCAGATTTATTGTATTCTTAGCAATTTACTTGTGAATAAAGATAATTAGTACAACAGTAGTTAAGGAAAGAACTTACCTGTCTTGATAGTAGAGAGATGATCATAGACTGCAGTGCTTTTGGAATACAACCACACTCTGCTCTGCCTTACAGTGCGAGAGAACTTGCATGTCAGATGTTCATGTAGTTTATCTCTTAAGAATGCCATAATTGCTTTATTTTTTCAGCGACATGAACACAATGGTTGAATTAACGTCATTCCAATCCCTGGGACGGATGCAGCCCTTCACGGTGACTATGTCGTCCTCCGCCATGGCCATGATTGATATTCACGCTCACCTCACCACCTCAGAGGTCGTAGGGTATCTGGCCGGGCAGTGGGACGTCACAAACCACAGTAAGTAGTTGCCTGACATACTCCTTAGGCTAAGACAATTGATTTTAAAATTGGGATATAAGAAATAATATGAAAGTAAACCAAATATCGTTTGTGCAACAGCTTGAAGTGTTGTATTGTGTTCATATTATTACAGAGTTATATCAGTAATATATTTCTCTTTCAGCAGGTATGGAATGTAGTAGGATACAGTGGAACTTCTTTCTATATGTATGGAGTGTACCATAGCCTCCATTTATAGCAAGGTGGGACAGCCTTAGTACCCCCAAGTGCTTTGGTCACTGCTAATTTACTCACTGTTAAGTGTTGAAGACTCAACAGCAGTGGTCAAAACATTTCCTAAGTAATTTTGTATGATTGACTATGAAGGAAGTGAAGCTGTCACCATCTGTTTCAGTTAAAAGGTTTTTATTATTAAACAACAAGTATTGCTTTCTTTTGTGAGGTCATCTTTATGCATAAAAGGTACATTTGAAGTAAGATATGACTGAGTTACTTTATGTACAGGATTGCATCTGGGCTGCCAAGTGCCTCTCTACTGTTACATAAAATGACTGCTCACTGACAATGTTTATTTGACTTTCATGAAATATGAATTGAATCAATATTAAATTCATGTGATACTGAATGAATTGTTTGAAATAAATTAAAAGTTAAGGTTTATTATGACCCATAATTTAAATAATAATTGAGGAATTATCCATAAAAAGTTATCTGAATCATATGATAAGTTTAAGATGATGAACTCTGAAGGAGAGGCTTTATTTCATGGATTCACGTTTTCTTTCACATTAAGAACTGCAGTACAAGGTACAGTAATGAATAAAAATATGAGTTACAAATATAAAACTCACGATGATTAATAATAATCTTAATGAGTTTGAAACCTACAGCTCAAATTTTAATATGACACTGTCAGCCAAAAGGGCATTTTATGTAACTCCTTTATCGTTGATTAATATACTTCTTTGGATGGGTAAACTTACCCTGTTTCAATTTGTCTTGTTTCTAAACTTTATAGCTGTCACAACCTGTCACTAACTTTGTCATTTATCTTGCGGCCATCCATACTCTGGTAAGACCATTGATTTTTCATATCCAGAATAGGTTGGGTCTTAAGGCAACTCCTGAACCTCAGAAGGCCAATGCAAATAGCTTCAGTATACCTCACAATTTCAGCCTAATTGTGGGAGGGTCAATCCACAAACAAATACTGTACAATGTCAGTGAAAAAAAAAATATGCATACAGCTTTACAGAGTTTTCTGGAGATTGCATGAATGCTTGTACTGTACAGTACAGTATTACTATTGGAACATTGTTGTTATGCAAGTCTCTCACAAGTGTGGGCATTGTTGTTGTTTTAATAGAAGCATTCACGTGATGTCCACGAAAATCTGTAAAGCAGTGGGTTTAAGTTACTTGGAAACACACTGTGCATTCCTAAATTGGGAGAGTTACTGTGAATCATATTTTTTGATACCTGCAATACAGTAGTAATGTTGGCTAAGATTATTCTTATATATCAATAAACAAAAGTATATATAAATAGCAGAAAATTCATGTTTCATTCCTTCAAATTGTGTTATTCATTCAGATCAGACTGAGGAGGCTCGGCAATGGCTTTCAGACCCGACCAATTATGAATCTGGAAAACCATTGGACTTATCTCTGTTATAAAGTTCTGATAGTTCAGTTTTCATGTAAATCACTTTGTTGAAATGTAAGCAAGTTTGAAATAGTGCAGTTGGTGGTGTTCATATTAGCTCATCTTTTCCAGATCTGATTGTGTCTCATGCCTTACCGGTACGTTGCCGGCTGGGTGATGGGGAGAAAGGGCGTGTTGTCGAGCAAGCACTGTATGCTGAGATGGAGAAACTTAATTTGTCTCTTGTTGGATGGTAAGGATTTATAATTGTACGTTTGTGAGGCTTCCATGTTGGTTGATTCCGGGGTTATCCTCTGTATTCAATGTTTTGGATCACTTGAGGGTTAAGTTTTAATATTTTATTGAGTTTCATTGATTCTTACTGCTATGACGTGTGTTCTAACCGTAATATACAGTGTTTCATAGGTCCATGTGCTGTAGTAATATCTCATGATCTCTTTTTATTTCGTTTTCAGGTGAGGGGAACCAATCAGTGTGTAGCATCTGACTTCCTCTACAGTATATGAATTATTAAACTGACTGTTTCTTCTAGAATTCCTCGGCCATCTTCATTTATATCCTATGATTCTCTCACCTGAAGAAGAAGAAAAAACAAGAACAATATTAATTTTCCTATGGTGCACTGCCTTTGACACACCCTCTACATTTGTCATTATTTTTTTCAGGTATCACTCTCACCCGTTCTCCCCTCCTTTGCCCTCACTAAGAGATATAGACTCCCAGCTGGAGTACGAGTTAAAGATGAAAGGCTCAAATGATGCGAGCTACACTCCATGCATTGGTATTATAGTCTGTAAGTTGTATGTTCATATTCTCAGATATACTGTACTGTACTTTTACAATAACTTTGGTATGATAAAGATTAAATCCAACACTTCTTAACATACGGGAAATTGCTCATTTTTGCTTTGATAGATATTCGGTTAAGTGTTCTTGGATCACATGAAGTTTAGGCACCCCTGCTTACACCCCCCCCCTCCCGCCTGTAGCACTAGGATGTTTAATCATCAGGTGACCCGCATCATTTATTCCCCCTCTAGCACCATATGTAAGAGGTGGAGGCCAGGGAACAACAGCAACTGGCTTCTGGGTGATGCCACCACCAGAACATAAGCCCCAGGAATATGGACGACCCATGAGCATCCAGTTCACTATTGTCCAAGATGCTTTTATACCTAAGGATGCTCTTATTCATGTGGTGAGTCAGCATGTTTACTGTTGTCCACCTCATCTGGCACTTAACCCCTTAAATATGTTGAATAAACCCTTGAATAAAATGAATTTCACAGCTCTGGGGATCGAAGATTCCGGCTAACGAAGTGATTACCATGTTCATGGGGTTTTATAACAGTATGGCCAGAAGTACTGCGCAGTGTAAGAAAAGGATCCATATTTCCCTACTACCAAAGCTATTTATTCACCCACATACTTTTGTCTTGGCTGTAGTACAAGTGCAGTAACATGAACGGATAAGCTCAAAGTGTGGCTTATAAGTTTGCCATTGTAATTTTCCCCCCAATGTGTAATCTTAAAACATATATATAACCTGATATAATAGCCTCCCATTTTAATATTAATTTGTTTCCTCTTCTACAGCGTGACACAGTGAAGTTCTTCAAGGACTGTCCCGATAGTGTAGTATTCAGTGACGTATTTCAGGATCGCTTTACCTACTGGGACAAATTAAAGGTAAGATTTGTAACATTTTATTTGCCATAGTGATTATAATGGTACAATGTATGTAAGAATATTATAATTTTTGCTTTTGAGGGCTTACAAAATATTGTGAAATGGCTTTCATGTAACTTTTATGTATACAGTGGTCCCTCGGTTAACGAGCACAATCCATTCCAGCAGGTTGCTCATTAACCGAAAAACTCGTTAGCCGAAACCATTGTTTCAATGGGTTTTGGGGTAATTGGTTCCAGCTCACCGAAAATTGCCTAAATTCAACAAAAAATTTAGAAAAGTACACTTACTTTGAGGTGTGTATGTAGAAGGCTCCTGGATGATGATGATGATGATGATGATGGGAATTAGAATGAGGGTGGAGGAGAAGGGAGAAGAGAAGGCATTGGGGTGGAAGAGAAGTCACCCCATGGCACCATTTCACCCATAAAATTTTAGTTCTCTTGGTGTAATCCAAGATTATTTTCTTTAAATCAATACTGCACTGCATTATATATTGTCAATATGTAAAATAAATTTCAAAATGACCAATAATTTGCTTGGAAACACAGAAAAAAAGCATTTAGTTGAAGAGAGTCTCAAGCAAGATGTTACCTCCACTGAAAACAGAGAGACTAACACCTGTCTGGTGTGTTAACAGACTGGATGGCACGCCAGAAACTAGTTTCTTTACCTTCAATTATGTTCAATAATTGTTAAAATGACTAAAAAAGTTAATATTAAACTTTTAAAATTATTGAATAGTATAAACTTCTTGATATTTACTAAAATAGAAAGGAATTTAAGCCCTAAAACCGATTACTGTAATGGCGGACTAATACTACAGCTGGTGGACCGCCAAATGCAAGCGAAAACATGTTGAAGTCGGCTCGTAAAAAACTCGTTAATCGAGGGATTGCTCGTTAACCGAAGTTAAGAATCTTATGGAAGGTAAATCGTTAACTGAAATCTCATTAACCGAGGCGCTCGTTAACCGAAGGATCACTGTACAGTATATATATTTAATATTTCTTGAGGTTTTAAGATTTGAGTACAGTATTTGTTTGTATGGGCTTCGTATATATATATATATATATATATATATATATATATATATATATATATATATATATATATATATATATATATATATATATATATATATATATATATATATATATATATATATATATATATATATATATATATATATATATATATATATATATATATATATATATATATATATATATATATATATATATATATATATATATATATATATATATATATATATATATATATATATATATATATATATATATATATATATATATATATATATATATATATATATATATATATATATATATATATATATATATATATATATATATATATATATACTTTTATTTTAATGATTGTATAGCTCCTGTAATATGTCATGGAAGCCACACAACCACAACATTGCTAAAGCTGGGACTGCTGTACAGATGCCATAGCTACTTCACTCCTGAGCAGTTGCTTCAAGTCTATAAGGGATTCATTCGTCCTAACTTGGAGTACTGTTCTCATATCTGGGGTGGCTCTTCTTCTGGCCAACTGTTAGATAGGGTAGAATCAAAGGCATTTCATCTTACTTACTCTCCTCCTTTAGTTGATAATCTCTCTTCGCCACAATTTTACTTCACTCTCTCTTTTACAGGTACTTTAACGGGCAATGTTCAGTTGATTTGGCATCTTGTGTACCGCCAGCAAGGCCGTGGGCTCATGACACTCGTCTTGCCCGCGGTGCCCACCGTTTCTCTGTGAATGTTGGTCACACTACAATAACCCATTATAGAACATCCTTCTTTCCTCACACAATCAAACTGTGGATTGCTCTGCCTTCTCCTGTGTTTCCATACTCATACAATCTGTCTCACTTCAAAAAGCTGGTTTTCTGGCATCTTCGTGGTGTAGATTAATATAATCTTTTTCTTTTCTATTTTTAATTTCTTTTTAGTCTTATTTTTTGTTTCCTAGGCCCCGTTGTGGTCAATGACCATTGCCCGAGTGGGCGATTCCCCGTAAAAAAAGAAAAAAAAGAAGCATTCTAATCATGCATTTGTTTTGCAGACTGCCATCCGTATGTGTGTACCCAAGGACCATTATGCTCCGCTGATGGACTATCTTGCCAAGCTCTTAGAACTAAAGAATTATGTACCTGAACCAACAGTAGTTTCAAGTAAGTCAAAATCCTCGACTTCAGGACCAAAGCCACAGACTTCAGCTGAACTTACACCAATTGAATCCTCCTCTACTACTACTGTGCCCAGCTCAGTCATTAAGAACAGAACATCTATAGATACTGGAAGTGGTGTAGTACATATCGATGAAAATATAACAGCTGAAGTACTTAAGAGCTCACAGACTACAGTTAGTGTCTCTCCAGAAAATTTAATGTCCGAATCTGTGTCGATCCTGAAAAGTCAAACTCAAGTTCAGTCCATGGAAGTCTCTATGCCAGAAGCTGTGAGATCACCACACCTTGACACACAGCAAGGTCATTGTGAACCAAAACAGCTACGTGCACAGCAGGAAGAGTACCAACCACCAAGCTACCAGCAGCACAGTCCACCAGCATATAAGCCGCCACAACAGGAACACTTGTACGAAGAGCAGAAGCAGGAGTCAGAAGTTCAGCAAGAATTCCTCCGAGAGCAGGACTACGACAAGCACCAACATAAACAGACCCCACAACAATACCAACAACAGTTACAGTACTCACAGCAGATTGATGACTACCAAGGAGATCAGAAATGTGAGGAGGAACTTCAAAAAGAATATCGTGAACCACCCCCAAGTTACCACCAGCAGCACTTTACAATACCAACTGGCTACATCCACGAAGAACCAAAGACATCACGTCCACTTGAAGACAGAGTACCAGGATCAGATGCACAGCAGGTAGAGGAAGGAACACAAGGCACGTCACATTATCATGAAAAACTTGCATTGGACCCTTGGGGGGGCCACAGACAGAGTGAGCCACCCCATCAGAGTGATAGCAGGGAAGTTGAGGTCATTCAACCTATGGATCTGGATACTCAGTCCTAATATTGTACTCGAGACTTACGGTAACTTTACCATATAAAACAATGCTGTACTTGGTAACTCCAAATGTAATACTGTACCTGTAGTTTTACATATGGAATTATATCATCAGCTCCACCTTCCAAAGTAGAGATGGTTGAAATATAACTACTATATAATTTAGCTAATTATCTCTTTAAATAGGTATTCAAATATGCTTTATATTGTCTAAGGATATAAATATGAACAGACCAACCATCCACAGGAGCTGGTGAGTCCACTATAAACTATGGGTAGTTCTAGTAACACAGACACATGTGGGGGACACAGACACCTACTAGTGATACTGACACATGTGGGGGACACAGGCACCTACTAGTGATACTGACACATGTGGGGGACACAGACACCTACTAGTGATACTGACACATGTGGGGGACACAGGCACCTACTAGTGATACTGACACATGTGGGGGACACAGGCACCTACTAGTAATACTGACACATGTGGGGGACACAGGCACCTACTAGTGATACTGACACATGTGGGGGACACAGGCACCTACTAGTAATACTGACACATGTGGGGGACACAGGCACCTACTAGTAATACTGACACATGTGGGGGACACAGACACCTACTAGTGATACTGACACATGTGGGGGACACAGGCACCTACTAGTGATACTGACACATGTGGGGGACACAGACACCTACTAGTAATACTGACACATGTGGGGGACACAGACACCTACTAGTGATACTGACACATGTGGGGGACACAGACACCTACTAGTAATACTGACACATGTGGGGGACACAGGCACCTACTAGTAATACTGACACATGTGGGGGACACAGACACCTACTAGTGATACTGACACATGTGGGGGACACAGACACCTACTAGTGATACTGACACATGTGGGGACACAGACACTCACAGTGATATTACTGACACATGTGGGGGACACAGACACCTACTAGTAATACTGACACATGTGGGGGACACAGGCACCTACTAGTGATACTGACACATGTGGGGACAGGCACCTTACTAGTGATACTAACACATGGGGGACACAGGCACCTACTAGCAGATACTGACACATGTGGGGACACACAGACACCTACTAGTGATACTGACACATGTGGGGACACAGGCACCCACAGTGATATCACGGTGGGGGACACAGGCACCTACTAGTGATACTGACACATGTGGGGGACACAGACACCTACTAGTGATACTGACACATGTGGGGGGACACAGGCACCTACTAGTAATACTGACACATGTGGGGGACAGACACCTACTAGTGATATTGACACATGTATTATAACCTACTTAAAGATACTGACACACAGGGGACACAGACACCTACTAGTGATACTGACACATGTGGGGGACACAGGCACCTACTAGTAATAATGAGACACATGTGGGGGACACAGGCACCTACTAGTAATACTTCCCACACATGTGGGGGACAACAGGCACCTACTAAAGATACTGACACATGTGGGGGACACAGGCACCTACTAGTAATACTGACACATGGGGGACAGACACCTACTAGTGATACTGACACATGTGGGGGACACAAGCACCTACTAGTGATACTGACACATGGGGACACAGGCACCTACCAGTATTGCCTGACACATGTGGGGACACAGGCACCTACTAGTAATACTGACACATGTGGGGACACAAGCACCTACTAGTAATACTGACACATGGGGGGACATGGTGCACCTACTAGTAATACTGACACATGTGGGGACACAGACACCTACTAGTGATACCGCTGACATGTGGGGACACAGACACCTACTAAAGTGATACTGACACATGTGGGGACACGTGAATCTACTAGTGATACCGACACATGTGGGGGACACAAGCAATCTACTAGTGATACTGACACATGGGGGGACACAGGCACTCCAGCCAGTAATACTCTGACACATGTGGGGGACACAGACACCTACTAGGTGATACCCCATACATGTGGGGGACACAAGCACCTACTAGCTGACACACATGTGGGGACACAGGCACCTACTAGTAATACTGACACACATGGGGACACAGGCACCTACCAGTAATACTGACACATGTGGGGGGGACATGCCACTTACTAGTAATACTTCCTCGACACATGGGGACACAGACACCCACTAGCACACTGACATGGGTAATACACTTACCAGTGAATACTCAGAATACATGTAGGACACAGACACCCACTAGTAATACTGACACATGGGGGACACAGGCACCTACTAGATAATGGACACATGTGGGGGGACACAGACACCTACTAGTGATACTGACACATGTGGGGGACACAGGCACCCAATAGTGATACTGACACATGTGGGGGACACACAGGCACCTACTAGTAATACTGACACATGTGGGGGACACAGGCACCTACTAAGGATACTGACACATGTGGGGGACACAGGCACCTACTAGTGATACTGGACACATGTGGGGGACACAGGCACCTACTAGTGATACTGACACATGTGGGGGACACAGGCACCTACTAGTGTAATACTCTCTCTGGACACATGGGGGACACAGGCACCTACTAGGCAATACTGACACATGTGGGGGACACACAGACACCTACTAGTAATACTGACACATGTGGGGGACACAGACACCTACTAGTGATACTGACACATGTGGGGACACAGACACCTACTAAAGGATACTGACACGCAGACACAGACACCTACTAGTGATACTGACACATGTGGGGGACACAGGCACCCACAGAATACTGACACATGGGGACACAGACACCTACTAGGTGATACTGACACATGTGGGGAATACAGGCACCTACTTAGTGATACTGACACATGTGGGGGACACAAGGACACCTACTAGTATACTGACATGTGACACAGCACCTACTAGTAATACTGACACATGTGGGGGACACAGACACCTTACTAGTGATGCCTGACACATGTGGGGGACACAGGCACTCTAGCCAGGATACTGACACATGTGGGGGGACACAGACACCTACTAAAGGATACTGACACATGGGGGACACAGGCACCTACTAGTAATACTGACACATGTGGGGGACACAGACACCACTAGTGATACTGACACATGTGGGGGGGACACACAGACACCTACTAGTGATACTGACACATGTGGGGTGACACAGGCACCTACTTAGTAATATCACTGACACATGTGGGGGACACAGACACCTACTAGTGATACTGACACATGGGGGGGACACAGACACCTACTAGCAATACTGGACACATGGGGGACACAGGCACCTACTAGTAATACTGACACAGTGGGGACACAGCACCTGCTAGTGACATTGACACATGTGGGGACACAGACACCTACTAAAGTGATACTGGGATACATGTGGGGGACACAGACACCAACTAGTAATACTGACACATGTGGGGGGACACAGACACCTACTAGTGATACTGACACATGTGGGGGACACAGACACCTACTAGTGATACTGACACATGTGGGGACACAGGCACCTACTAGCACACTGACACATGGGGACACAGACACTAGTAATACTGATTACGATGTGGGGGACATAGACACTCCACTAGTGATACACACATGTGGGGGACACAGACACCTACTAGTGATACTGACACATGGGGGACACAGGCACCTACTAGCAATGAACTGACACATGTGGGGGAATACAGGCACCTACTAGTAATACTGACACATGT